AGGTGGGAAGGAATTTTCCAGGGGGATGGGATTGTTCTGTGTCTTGATACGATGTGGTTACTCAGCTACTGGTGGTTGTCCAAACTGTATAAGCCATAAACCCAGATCTTACCAGAAGGCCCCAGTCCCCGACACACCCCCCCCCGCAATTGAGCAAGATGTTTAAGGCCATTTCAAAAAGGGAAGATGTTTCAAGTATCTGAAAGTAAGCCTTTTCTCCTATTCTGATCTTGTCTGATCATATGTTTATACTTGTCCTTTTGAGACAGAGAGGGTGAAGGGACTCCATGAAAAAAACCCATTCTTTTTCCTTGCTTTTCCTGCTTCTTTTCTTACTGGGACCTGCACCCCCACCTTACACATGCCTTAACGTATGTCCTCCTTACGGGGGTTAATGATTTCTTTGGAGTCTTCCAGCACAATAGGTAACATCTAAGGAGTGACCAGGCAGGCTCATCATAAATGTTCTCCAAGACCACTGACTCCAAACACCTTGACGCCAAGACCCTGGGCTTCAGGGAACAAGTGACTTATGAAAGACACCTGGACCCTATCCTTGTTCCGCCCGGTTCCTGGATGCCTGGGGATGTGTGTACCACACCACAGTTGTCAGTGAAAATCCCAGACACCAAGCAAAGACAAGACTCCCTCCTTTCCTTCCTGAGTCTCCTGGACACTCAGTCTGTATCTGCTCTATGTTTTCAGTAAACTCTGCTTCCACCTCCTGTTGCCTCACGTTTGATTTCCAATCTATGTGAAGCCAAGGACCTTCTTGGCTAGTCTTGCAGGACCCCCTCTGGGTCTCTGGACCCAGCCTGCTTATATTACTTTCAAGGTATAGCTGGGCTTCATGTTTTGCATTCTGATTACAGTGTTAATATTGATAAAAATGATTTCTGATGCTAAATAATAAAATATTTAAGACCAGACTGGTAAGTGCATATGCAGAAACTCTCCAGACTTTAAAAAATCAAACCATTGTTTCCAAATAACTTGTGCTATTTTTTTTTCTTTTTTGCTAAACTAATACATGTTCCCAGGGTGCCTGGCTGGCTCAGTTGGTAGAGCATGGGACTCTTGATCTCAGAGTTGTGAGTTCGAGCCCATGCGGGTGTAGAGATTACTTAAAAAAATAAATTAAACTAATACATGTTCTGTGTTGTATGTGTCAAAACATCAGATACCTAAGAGAAATCACGTAATTTTACCACCCAGTAACTACTTTTAAAAATTGGGAAAATCCCTTCCAGTACTGTTTTCTTTAAAATGGAAGCTGTCTGTACATTCTCTTACAACAAGCCTTTCTGGCTTGGTACATTCTGAACGTTTTGTGGCCAAGACAGTTCCCTGAGTAGAAAAGCAGTGAAGTCACACCGGGACCTGCTGGGAAAGGAGTGGGAAGACAGGACTGACCATACAGCATTTTGCCATCACTCTGCCTCTCCTGGTTACCGTCTGCTTCTGCAGAGAGACTTGCGTCTCCAGAGATGGGCAACCGGGGGTCTGGTAGTCATGGACGAACAGTCACTTTTCTTTCATGGAATCCTGGCTGCGCTGACCTACAAGAAACAAAAAGGAGCACACAGACTTGCTTCTAGCGTGTTTTAGCCAGATTTCAAACACTTAAAGTTTTTGCCAGGGAGATATGAAGCTTGAGTCACAAGCTGTTATAATCATCCAATGGGCAATGTTGTTTTTCTAACAGCATTTTGTGTACTATCCTATTTCAGAAAATTTTTGTTCAAGGCCAGCTTGCAGACAACAAAATTCTAAAGCCATAGTATGATCATAAATATTTGTGTAGTGCTACTGTGTGCCAGGCATTGTTCCAAGCACTTTACACTAAATCTTTCAATATGATATTGTTCCAAGGCCATCTGTGAAGGATATTTCCATGTCAAAGTTCAAGTTACCAATCCAACACGCCTTGTTTTTCCTTTAAAAAAATCAAAGCATATCAAATAACAGCATAATGATTCTCTAATAGCTGCTTTTATATTTCTGTATTTTAGGAAACGATCTAGATTGATGCTGTCTTTTGCCAGATTTCTACTGTGACTAATTACTTTCTGAGTTTTGTTTATTTTGTCTTCTATGAATCTGTCCTTAGCTCTTATTTCTTTTAAAGAAACTGTCTTGGCACTGTATAACTGGTCAACTGCTCTGTTTAGCCCTCCCGCTAAGTTGGCTCTCTGCACCCACTGTCCCCTCCCAGCACCGTGACCTGTGATTACTGTGCCTGCAGCCATCTCACTGGCCTGGGCTGAGCTCCAACCACAGCCACTGAGGGGTCCAATGATCAGCTTGGCTTCTGAAGTGTCTCTCAGCCCTTTAATTTTTCACTTGACAATGAAGGAAAACCATTTCTTGGTGACTTCAGTCTTTCTCTTCAAAGAATATAAAAACTCTGCTCCAAACTTAGAATTAATAATATTTCAGTTAAGAAGGAACTTTATTTAGGAGTTGACTGACTCAAAAGATTTCCTATTATTGATAGCAGTGGTTCAATAAATACAAACATTTTATTGATTAATTTTAACCATCTCATTGCATAAACTTTGCCTCAAGTGAGTGACGTGAAATCAATGGGAGCCCTCTCACCGTGCAAGCTGGAGGATATCCTCAAAAGGTAGTACTGAAATTTATACTGAAAATGATTATATATGGCAATATGCTTGAAGACTACAAAAAGCAGCATGATTTCCCCATTAAAACTGAAGTTTGAGGGGCATCTGGCTGTCTTCGTCAGTAGGGCATGTGACTTTAATCTCAAGGTCATGAGTTCAAGCCCTACATTGGATGTACTTTAAAAAAAAATTGATCTTCAGGGTTCTAAATATGATTTCAAGCAGTACAGGGCAAAATTTCAATTTATTTTGCTTATTGATAATTGAAATTAAGTTGAAAATTATTCTATAATTTATCTTTGCAATGTCTTATAGTTTTCCATATAAATGTGTTTCACATCATTTCTTAATTCTAAATCTTTTATTATTTCTGATGCTATTGGTGGATGGATTTTTTTTGAAATGTCATTTTCTGATAGTTTGTTACTAGTACATAGAACACTTGATTTTGTTCTTGAGTTTTGGACATTGGCCTTATATCTTGCTAAATTTATTAGTTTCAGGGGCTTTTTTTTGTGGATTCTTTGGTGTTTTCTGCCTACAGCATCATATCATCTACAAATAATGACAATTGTACTTCTTTCCCCCAGCTGAAATGCTTTCTATTTTTTCCTTATCTTAATAAACTGATTAGAATGTCCAGTACAATGTTAAATAAAAATGGTGAGACTGGATGTCTTTTCTCCATTCCTAATCTTTGGTAGAAAACTTCAGCCTTTCCTTATTTTATATGTTATTAGCTGTAGGTTTTTCATGGATGCCCTTTATCAGGTTGAGAAAGTTTCCTTCCTAGTTAGCTAAGAGTTTTAATCATGTGTCAAACAACAAAATTCAATTGAGTAATTTAAAATATCAAATTGGCTTTATCAAACTATTCATGATAAGGCAACATCCTATCCAGCAAATGGAAAGGAGCTCCATGGAGCCCAAGAAAAGGAAAGATTTATAAAGGCAGAGAGGAGGCTGGAAAAAATGCATTATTTTAGGTAACGTAACCCTCCTAAGGGGGAACAGAAGTGGTCTATCCGTAAATTTCCTAGTGCTGACTAGTGAATTTTATGTTGACTGGTTAAAGATTACATTCCTAGGTGGGTTGAAACTGCAGTTAGGCTAGGCATTATGTCTTGGGGTGCTGATGTGGGACCTTAATATAAGTGACTCTTTTGGGGGGCCTGTGGTTTTCTTTTTAACACAGGAAAGGCTATTAGGCTTTGTTAAATGCTTTTTCTGTATCCACTGAAAAAAATCACATAGTTTTCTCCTTTATTAATATTGTGAATTATACTGATTGATTTTCAGATGTTAAACCAACCGTACATGCTGAAGATAAACTCCACTTCGTCATGACATATGATACCTTTAGTGTAATACTGAATTCAATTTGTTAATGTTTTGTTAAGTCTTTTTGCATCTATGTTTATGAACGTTAGTGATCTGTAGTTCTTTTGCCTTGTGATGTCTTTGGTTCTGAAATCAGGGTATTACTGGCCTCATAAAATGAGTTCAGAAGTGTCTTTACTTTTCTGAATGATTTTGTGTAGTATTGATATGTTGTTGTTGTTGTTTTTTTCCTTTTTCCTTTAATTGTTGGTAGAATTAACCAATGAAGCCATATGAGCCTGGAGTTTCCTTTGCTGGAAAGTTTTTAATTACTAACACAACTTTTAAAATTTATGTAGGGCTGCTCAAGCTTACCATTTCTTGTTGGGTTAGATATGGGATTTTGTGTCTTTTTTTTTCTTTTAATTTTTTTAATTTTAGAAAGACAGCATGAGCAGGGGAGGGGCAGAGAGAGGGGGAGAGAAAGAATCTTAAGAAGGATGCACTCTCAGTGCAGAGCCCAACATGGGGCTCAATCCCATGACCCTGGGATCATGACCTGAGCTGAAGTCAAGAATTGGATGCTTAACCAACTGAGCCACCAAGGTGCCCATGCATGGATCTTGTGTCTTTTAAGGAATTTGTCCATCTTACATGGGTTGTCAAAGGTGTTTATAATAATCTCTTATTCTTTAATGCTCTGAAGGCACTATAGTGATGTCCCTTCTTTTATTACTGATATCAGTACAATGTATGTTTTCCATTTTTTTTGTAGCTAGAGGTTTATAAATTTTGTTAATTTTTTTTAAAAAAGCGTCAATTTCTGCTTTCATTAGTTATTCTCTTCTGCTTTTCTCTCTCTTTTCAAAAGAGAGAGAAATGTATTTATTTTGAGACTGATTGCATGTGTACTCATGTACCCACACACAAGCAGGGTAGGGGCAGAGAGGGGGAGAGAGAGAATGCCAAACGGGCTCCTCACTGTCAATGCAGGGTCCAATGTGGGGCTCCATCCCATGAACTGTGAGATCATGACCTGAGCTGAAATCAAGAGTTGGACACTCAACCAACTGAGCTACACAGGTGCTCCTCTTTTTTATTTCATTCATTTCTGCTTTTATATTTTATTTCCACCTTCCTGCTTGCTTTGAATTTAATGTTCTCTCTTATATTTTATTAAAGTGGGAGATGATATCATTGACTTGGGACTTTTCTTCTTTTTCTATTTTAGGTATTCTAAAGCTTTAAGTTTTCCTCTAAGTGTCCTGTGTTGGATGTATCCCCATAAATTCTGGTAAGTTGTATTTTCATTATTAGTCAATTAAAAATATTTTTCTTGTGACTTATTCTTTCACCCAATGATGACTTAGAAAGTGTGTGGTTTAATTTACATATATTTGGGGTTTTCTTATTATCTGATATTTTTAAAATTACTACTAAAGTTTACTTAGTATGGTTTTCTTTCAATTTGCATTCATTAGTTTATTATCTTGCAAACTAGTAATTCAGGTCATTTATTTTAAGGCACAGTTAAAATTTTCTGCTCTGAGTTACAGAGTAAAAAAAAAATCTGCCATTTTAAGTGTCAGAAGTCCAAGTTTTCTTTTCTAGAGATTTTTTTTTTTTTTAATTTTTTAAAAATGTTTTATTTATTTTTGAGACAGAGAGAGACAGAGCATGAACGGGGGAGGGTCAGAGAGGGAGACACAGAATCTGAAGCAGGCTCCAGGCTCTGAGCTGTCAGCACAGAGCCCAACGCAGGGCTCAAACTCACGGACCGTGAGATCATGACCTGAGCCGAAGTTGGATGCTTAACCGACTGAGCCACCCAGGCGCCCCATCTAGAGATTTTCTTTTGTTTTGAATTTATATAAATGTTTATTAACCTTTATAGTCAAGTTAAAAAAGAGTTCTGTTGAATTGAGGAAAATTTATAATCTAATTCATTAGTTATTTAATTTGGAGATAAGTCAAGGTAAACTAATTTGTTGAGAAAACATTTCATAGAACATGGAAAAATTCTATCAAACTCTCTTGAGCAAGCTAGGGAATCTATTTGGAGTTCATAGCCAGGTTTCTATTTCTTTATTTGCTCTTTGTTTTCTGCAGTAATTGTGTGGTCAGACTATGGCTTGAGCTAAAGATTTAACTTTAAAGTCCTTCCTGAGGGTTGGCAGCGGGGGGTGAGGGGGTTGCCTGGGTGGCTCTGTTGGTTAAGCACCTCACTTTGGCTCAGGTCATGATCTTAAGGTTTGTGAGTTCAAACCCCACATCTGCTCAGCCTCCACTGTCAGCACAGAGCCTGCCTCAGATCCTTTGTCCTCCTCTCTCTCTGCCCTTCCCCTGCTTGTACTCTCTCTCTCTCAAAAATAAGTCTTTAAAAAAAAATGTAAATAAAGTACTTGCTGGGACAGGGCAATCTCCTTTATATTTTGACCTAGCTCATTTATACCATTCTGTGTGGCTATTTTATTTCTTTTGAGATGAAAGAGAAAAAATTACATACGCAGAACACTTCAGATTTCTCATGTATTTACCAACAGGAGGACACAAAGCTCCTGATGAGCTAGAAGCATTAATTCCCAGTACAACATGCATTTATATAGTTTATACAATTGTTGTAAATACTAAGAAACCCTTTCTGGAAAGTCCTTTATCTTTGCTTAAAGCCATATAAAATCAATATAAAGTTTTTTTCTTTAATTTTTATATAAGGAATTTTTTCTAGCCTTGAGATCAGACATATAACATTGTATAAACATAAGGTGTACAGCATAATGATTTGATATATGTATATATTACAGATTACCACAATAAGGTTATTTAACACAAGCCTCCCTCCATAGTTACAATTTTTTTGCATATGGTGAGAACTTTTAAAATCTATTCTCTTAGCAACTTTCAACAATATGATATAGTTTTGTTAACTATAGTCACCATGCTATACATTACATCCCCACAACTTACTCATCTTACAACTGGAAGCTTGTACCATTTGACCATATTAACTCATTTACCCCACCACCCACCCCTGGCAACCACTAATCTGTTCTCTGTGTCTATCCAGTTTTTTAGATTCCATATATAAGTGAGATCATACAGTATTTGTCTTTCTCTGAGTTACTTCATTTAGCATAACGTGTTGAAGATCCAACCATGTTGTTGCAAATGGCAGATTTTTTTTTTATGGCTGAATAATACTCCATTGTATATACAATTGACCTGTGACCAGCAGAGGTTTGAAATATATAGTACTGTATATTTATTTTTAAATTTTTTTAATAAAAATATACAGTACTGTAAATATATTTTCTCATGATTTTCTTAATATTTTTTCCCTAGCTTTGCTTTATTATAAGAATACACTACCTAATATACAAAATATGTGTTAAGCAACTGTTTATGTTATCAGTAAGGCTTCTGGTGAACAGTAGGCTTTAGTAAAGTTTTGAGGGAGTCAAAAGTTATACACAGAGGAAGCTTTAGTGTTTTCTCTGTATAGGATCACATCATCTGCAAATAGTGACAATTTTATTTCCTTACCAATTTGGATGTGTTTTCTTCCCCTGCCACCCCCTTTTTTCCTTTTTCTTATCTGAATGCTGTGCTTAGCACTTCTAGTACTATGTTGAATAAAAGTGGTGAGATTGGGCACCTTTGTTTCCTTATATTAGAGGAAAAGCTCTAAGTTTTTCACCGTTGAGGTTGATGTTAGCTGTGGGTTTGTCAGATATGGCCTTTGTTATATTGTGGTATGTTCACTCTGAGCCCACTTTGTTGAGAGCTTTTATCATGAATGGATGTTGAATTTTGTCAAATACTTTTTCCGAAGTTATTGAGATCATGTGATTTTTTTTTTTTTTTATCCTTCACTTATTTTTTGGAATAGTTTAAGGGGAATATGTTTTAGGTCTTCTTTTAAATGTTTGGTAGAATTCACTAGTGAAGCCATCTGGTCCTGGACTTGTTTTTATTGGGAGTTTTTTGATTACTGATTAAATTTCCTTACTAGTAATCAGCCTGTTTAGCTTCAGGCTTTTGTTTTTAAGATTTTATTTTTCAGTAATCTCCATACCCATCGTGGGGCTCAAACTCACAACCCCGAGATCAGGAGTTGCATGCTTTTCCGACTGAGCCAGCCAGGCGTCCCCAGGTTTATTCTTGATCCTTGCGTGTAGCTCCCCCAAGACTTTCAGGCTTCAGCTCAAGTGGAGGTGTTTACTTGGTCCTTCTTACTTGGCCAGCTCTGGTCTCTATTCTTTTTCTTCTACTCCGGAGAATCTGCAAAAATTCTTTTCAGATTCTAAGGCTCTTAAATATTTTATAGTTAGCCTTTCAGCCACTCAGCACCTGATTTCAAATCAGAAATCACCTCAAGAATAAAATCATACAAGTATCAGAGTTCCCGATATAGATTTCCCAAGCCCTCTGTTATCTTGTCCCCACAAATCCTCACAGCTTTCATCTTGTTCCCATGCTGACAAATTTATATGCACGTGTGTGTGATAAGTCAGAAAGAGACAGAGACAGAGAGACCAAGACCTAGATATATAGATGTTATTTATTTCTGGAAATTCCTGGTCATTGCAATGAAATATTTACAGGTGATGGGATTTCCTACTTGAAAATCTATGAAGTTTTAGTTAAAAATTACTAAATCTACCAAAGAATTCAATCCTCAATATTATACAAGGATTTGGTCAAATAGTGTTTTGATTATATACTCATGATAGAAAAGTAAACAGACACATAATTTTTGTCTTATGCTTCAGTATGTATGAAAAATAAAAGTGCACATGTATGTGCAGCCACTTCACATTTATTCCTGAATAATGAAAGACACATATAGCAGCCTTTTTTATATCAACAAAAATTCAAAAATAAATACCCTTGAATAAGGAGATAATTTTAAAAATTATAGCCATACAACAGGGTATTTTTATTTATATGACTTGTAAAAATATGTCACCAGCAAATCATAGGTATATTATAAATATATGTGTATACACACATACATAAAAACCCATATTTCTGATATGTGTATTCAAATATAACAATACATACACATCACCTTCCCCTATTCTTTGCCTTACTATGTCTGTGTATGTGTGTGTGTCTCCATTTGTGTGTTTAACCAGTAGGGGAAAACAGGAAGGGCATCCTTGGACAGAGCAGCAAATTCAAGTTTTATCTCATGTTATTGCCTCTGGCTAGAATGATCTTCTGTTTTCTCCCTGCATGTATATACTTATACATACATGTATACACAAACATGCATCACACACGATTTTTTTTTTTTTTTTTTTGAGAGAGATTGAGCACAAGCAGGCAAGGGGCAGAGAGAGAGAATCCCAAGCAGGCTCCAAGCTCAGCACAGAGCCTGACATGGGGCTCGATCTCATGACAGCAAGATCATGGCTTAAGCTGAAATCAAGTGGGATGCTTAACCAACTAAGCCACCCAGGTGCCCCCCCCCCAGTTATTTTTTAATAATTATTGGGAAAAAAACAAATTGTACATGCCAAACTATCAAGAGATTATTCCCCTGGAGAGCTAACTGGAGTAAGAGACGAGCAAATTTTATATATTTAAAAAACTTTTTTAACTCAGGATAATTTTTAATATTCAATATGACATTTGAAGTCTCTTACATTTGGTATACACTGCAGACGAGATACAGCTTAAGATCTCACAATTACAAAAAGAATTTTATTGGAAAGTGAGTTTTTGTTCCATGTGGGGAAATCTGAACTGAATCTGAAAGGATGAGGAAAATTAGAAGAGACAGGGTCAGGAATGTCATACAGCTAACACACAGGACAGAAAGCATCTGGCTTGTTCACATGAGGCCTGACCTTTCTTCAGACTGGAATGAAGCACAGCTTAAATACGGGCGGTGCAGCACCCACCCCATTGACAATTGGGGCAGTTTCAAGGTCCTTTGGATCAACCACAGATTTCAACATAAAATGCTGTAAAATGTTGGTCAGTAGTAAAAACAGCTCCATGCGGGCCAGGCCTTCTCCAATACAAACTCTCTTTCCTAAAAATGACACATAAATTAAATACTCATTTAATTTTTTTTCTGAGTCAGCACACAGGGAAGAAAATAAATATATTAATAGACTAATTAACCTATGCCTTCTTTTGTCTACACTGAAACCTGGTTACCTTCATTTCCTCAGTACGTTTCTGTGGGCATGTGTAAAGGCCAGGGCAAGTCACCACAAGATGGGCCACTTTGGCATAAAAATTATTTTTAGTTAAAAGCAATCAAAACCCAGCAGATTCAAGAAAAGCTCCTTACCTCTCCCTCAACTTCCAGCTTATACCAAGAAGAGAGCAATTAACAGAGATTCTTCTTTACCTAAGAAACTTCTCTGCGTAACAGGGAGACCTTTGTTTTTGAAACATCTCTCTCACCTTCCCGCTAACGGTGTTCCTTCCCTGTGAATCCCCAGACCCCTTCCCCTCTCCTTAGCTCAGGACGTCATAGAAACCTCATGTTGCCTGACTGTATTTGAAATTTCATGTCTGTGGATTCCCCATATCTATGAAACTAAATTTGATTTTCTCCTCTTAATCTGTCTCATGTCAATTTCACTTTTTAGTCTAGCTGGGAAGGACCTTGAAAGGCAGAAGAAAATTTTTCATCCCGGACACCTGGCCTAGTTGGTAGTACACTTTAACACACTGGATGCTGCTTGTCACAAACATAGCTGTGGCTGGGAGATCCTTGGGACATCTGACCTAGAGCCGACAGAAGGTAAGATTTCCTACCATGTCAGTCTCCTGGAATCTGAGGAGTCTGATAGAGCAAGAACGGTGAGAGTCATTCTCTCTTTCTAAATTCAGATTAGCAGGAGAAAATACTTGTGTAACTAGGTCCTTGGGCTTAGCAACTCTTGGTAAATTTGGTAGAGCACTCTTTTGGAGGAAATAGATTAACCAGAGATAGTCTTTGTTTTCCTTGTTTCTCTTATGTTGTTTGTCATAATAAGGAATTAGCATAGGGCAGAAAGCAGGCATAGGCCCTATAAGCCTGCTGTTTAAAGGACATCTTGGAAACCAAAGCTGCAAAACTGGTGGGTGCGGGTCGAACACTTAAAAGCTATTAGAGCACTTGGCACCTTAAGAAGGTTCCTGTGATAGGATAAATTGGTCACAGAACAGGTTAGATTAACACTTGGCCACCTGCCAACCTCAAGGAAACAGCTGTGTAATGAGGTACACTTGAAAACAATACACAATCCCCAACTCTGTGGCACATTCCTCTTAGGAATGAGTGTGGCTCCAAGACACCCAAGATTTAGCTGAAAGAAAAACCAGATAGGGTTTTTCCCTTTGTCTTGTTCATAGAACAAGCTTCTAAGAGCTTGGCTTTGTGAGCAGTGATAATATGCTCTTTGGTCTCCACCATCTGGAGGAGATACACCTATCTGGGTGCACCTTAATGTCCAATTGAAAGGAAGAGGGATATGAGTCTCTCTCTCTTTCTGTCTGGCCATGCCAGCTCTCAAGGGTGTTTGTCATGAGAAGTCCCAGCCCATAGGAGCCTTTATATTCTCAACCTTCATTTCTTGTTAGTGCTGGAAACTGCCATTATAGGAGCACATGCCTAGTGTCATGGATTATTGTCTTTGACTGGAAGCATCTCAAGATTTTGTTGGAGACCAGCAATGAAGGCCTCTGCTTTCTTAGATTAATTATGGGAGTAAACTTTTGGATCATGAGGGCTGTGTCATCTATGCCCTTTCTCTGGACACCTCTTGTATCTTTGGTTAAGGCATTAAAAGGCTTATTGGTTTGAGTTGCTCATAAGAGATCCTACTCATCAATGGCCCGACAGATCCTTTAAATTAGTTAATGTTTGAAAAAAGAAGAAAAACATTTTAAACTTAGTTGAATGGCTAGCCTCAGGGATTCCCTTGATAAGATGAAAGAAGAGGAACTAGACTTAAAATAAAGGTCCACATACAACATAAATTCTCCCTAAAATGCCTATTTTAACTTCCCTTTCCCTATAAGGATTTACAGAGAGCACTCCAACTTCATCTCTACGTTCAAATTCTACAGGCTGCTCATGTAATTGCTGAAAGCCAGGAAAGGAATTTAACAAAAGCAATAAGGCTGACTTTGCTTCTACCTTCCAGGGCACTGTAATTAGTTTATGACAGCTTCAGGCATTCCTAGGCAATGTACTTGGCTAGTGTATCCTAGACCCCCAAGGCAAAAGAATTTGTGTCCCCTGGACAGCTGCAAAGCTTTTAAATTATCAAGCCCTTTTAACCTCTACTTTCAAAGGATCCTAGCAAATTTAGAGAGAAATTAAAAAGATTAATCACTAGTCACAACCCTCCCTTCAGAGAGGAAACATGACCAAAATTTCTCCTAGGCAAATGATCAGGGAAAGGCCAATATTCAGGGACTGTTAGAAGCCCAGATTAAATTGTGCAACCAGAAAGAAGGCTTTTGTTAAAATGCTTCACACAGACTTTACAAAGGCATGAATCTTTTGATTCCCATTTTAATAAAAAATCTGCCTGATATAAAAAAGCAAATTTAGTTAAAAAAAAAAAAAAGGGCCAATCCCGTGATATTCAGGCTGTAATCCAGTCCTTTGAGGAATTAGAAACAACTCTCTTTCAAAGCTCTACAAAACCAGAGATGCAACTCTAGAAACAGGTCAAAGCTTACCTCTCTTTACCAATCCCCAAACCTGGTCTATTTCTCTCAAAATGTTTACAGATACTACAGAAGATTACAATTTGGAACAATATTGTTTAGGACTTAAAAGAATAATTAAATTTTAAATAGTAATTACACTGAAACTCTAAAAAAAAATTTTTTTTTTACCTTCTCTGTCCCTTGAAATTATAAATTTAATGTCTTTGAACACAGCCCACAATCACCTGAGACTGAAAAAAAAGCAAAAGGTGGGGTAGGGCGACAGTGGTAGGGGAAGAGGCCTTTCCAAGTACAAACTGCTAAAATGCCTCTTGTGTTCAGACTTGGAA